AGGAGGGGGCGGGCTCCAATCCGGTTCCATCCGGTTCTCCCACCGTCGCGGGTCGCAACAGTCGGGGCGGCGGGAGGAGCAGCGTTCAGGTCTCTCAGCTAGGTGACGGCCCTCTGCTTCGGACGCGCCCGCCGAGGCCACTACGATGCCCAAGAGGAAGGTGAGTGCGGGGGCGGCGGGCGCCCCCCCCCGGCCGCTTTGTTCTGGGCTCACCGCGCTGTGCTTCTCCGCAGGTCAGCTCCGAGGCGGCGGGCAAGGAGGAGGTGAGCGGGGCCGGCCGGGTGGGCGAGCGCGGGTGGGGCGCGGGCCGCGGGCACGGGCGCGGCTGACTGCGGCTTCTCTTTCCAGCCCAAGCGCAGATCGGCGAGGCTGTCGGCAGTGAGTAGAGCAGGGCCCGAGGAGGGCATGCGGCCTGGGGAGTGGGACCCTGGGTGCAAGTCCCGGGGGTCGAGGCCTGGGGAGTGGGACCCGGGGTGCAAGGGCCGGGGGTGTGGGACCTGGGGTGCAAGTGCCGGGGGGTATGGGGCCTGGGGCGTGGGACCCGGCGTGTAAGGGCCGGGGGTGTGGGGCCTGGGGCGTGGGACCCGGCGTGTAAGGGCCTGGGGCGTGGGACCTGGGGTGCAAGTGCCGGGGGGTATAGGGCCTGGGGCGTGGGACCCGGCGTGTAAGGGCCGGGGGTGTGGGACCTGGGGCGTGGGACCCGGGGTGCAAGTGCCGGGGCCTATGGGGCGTGGGACCCGGCGTGCAAGGGCCGGGGGTATGGGGCCTGGGGCGTGGGACCCGGGGTGCAAGTGCCGGGGCCTATGGAGCCTGGGGAGTGGGACCCGGCGTGCAAGGGCCGGGGGTGTGGGACCTGGGGCGTGGGACCGGGACCCGGGGTGCAAGGCCTAGGGGTGTGGGGCCTGGGGCGCAAGGGCCGGGGGGTGTGGGACCTGGGGTGTGGGACCCGGGGTGCAAGGGCAGGGGGGTGCGGGGCCTGGGGCGTGGGACTCTGGGTGTAAAGCTTGGGAGAGCGGGACCTGGGGTGTGTGGCCTGGGGAGGGGGACTGGGGGTGCAGGGCCTGGAGCCTTCCGGAGCCAGCGCGCCCACGCCACTTTTGCGTTTCAGAAACCTGCTCCTGCCAAAGTGGAATCGAAGCCAAAAAAGGCCGCGGGAAAGGTAGAGTTTAATTTTCTTTTTGTTTTAATAATTTCAGGAGGGTTCTGGGTGGGAGGAGGGGCCGGCGCACCTTGTAGTTCAGTATATTGGTCCTGGGGAAGGGAAATGTGACGTTAATGCTTGCTGTGGGGTTTGAGACCCTTCAGATGACTGAAGTTAAATGCTCGAGGTTGGAAGAGAGATCTGTCCTTTGTGATAGGTACGTTGTGGTCAGTGCTGGGTCGTTCCTTGCTTGTACTGATACTTAGAGCCAAGCCAGTGCTGAAGGCAGGACGCCGAGCTCAAGCCTAGACTGTAGGTCTTTGTATTTTCTCTTGGGAGGTAAACTCTGGAGGAGTGTTCGCTGAGGACACTACTAACAGTATTGTGCAAGTTTGTTTGCAACATAGTGGGAGTAAAAGAATTCAGTCATTTTTTTTTCTAAGTCTTTGAGTTAATCATAAAAAAAGATAGGTATAGGGGGATCTCTGAGTTTGAGGCCAGCCAAGGCTACATAGCTGGCATCCTGTGTCCCAAAACAAAACAGTCTGGTGCCGAGCTCAGATTGCATTGCTTTGGGAAGTTGTTTGGTGTGAGTACTGTATGTATGTATATTTGATAATTTAAGTTGAAAAGGCAAAAACATATCAGTCATTTATAAATTTTATATCTATCTTCAAAACGCTAGAGATGCTTGGTTAATAGTGTGATTATTTGCACCCAGAACTTGGTCTGTTTGGTACTTGTAGATAAATTAACACTAATCCTTTCCTAAAAATGTAGTTATGAGGGGGAGCTGGAGAGATGGTTCAGCGGTTAATACTGACTGTCCAGTTCCAGGAGGTCCGACAGCCTCCTCTGTGTCTTCCTCAGGCACTGCACAACAGGGCTGCACTCACCGACACGCGGGCAATACACGCATACACATAAAATAAAAATAAAATTTTAAGTGTGGGTGGTAATTGAATTTTGCGTTGTCAGAGAGGCAGGAAAGGTCTTTTAAATAAGGGTCGTCCAGGTTGGGCTTGCTGTGGGTTTGGGGGCAGCAAATATAATCATTTTTCTTTTTTCCTTTTGAGAGGCCAGTAGGTAAGTCTTTTGTCTTGGTTTTTTGAGATGGGATCTACTATATATAGCTCCAGTAGGCCTGGAACTTGATATGTAGACCAGGCTGGCCTCAAATTCAGAGAGCACCGGCTTCTGCCTCCTGGGTGTTGGGTGTAGAAAGGGTGCAGCACCACAGCCTGCTGAGTCTTTTGTCTGTAGTTGCTGTGTTTACTCCTGGGCCTATCATTGCCTCCTGAGTGCTGCCACACAGGCATGCAGCCCTACAGCTGGCCGCCTGTATTTAATGAACACACTTGGCCGTCTGCTTCCCAAAGAAAGGAATGGGAGAAAGGTCATCCCCACCCCTTCATTTTTACTCCAAGTTTCCTGTCTTGATAACTATAGCTTCGGACTCGGCCCCATTTGTGTAGAGGTGAAGGTTTCAAAGGTTTAAATAACATGTTCAGGAAGGCTTGATTTGGAGGGTTAGGGTAGTGTTTATTCATCCAGCTTACAGTTTGTGTGTGTGGTGCTGGGATCAAACCAAGCCCACACATGCTTGCTAAGCAATTCTGGGCTGCTTAGCAGCTGTTAGTGGTCACAGGTGGTGCTACATCAAGTTCAGGGTATTGTTGTAGTTTGACTTTTAACCTTTATGTAGTTAGAATTGTGGTTATGAAGCTAAAGAGACATCTGAAAGAGAAGTTACAGTACAGAATCAGTCTAGGTAGATCGTAAGGGTGGGTGAATGGAGTGGGTATCGATCCTATTGTGTGTGGTACAGAAAAACTCCAGGTCATCTCCTTGCCTGTCTTGTGGTCCTTTGAGTCACATAAATCGACAGTACTCTTAGAGTTTTTTATAATTATTTTTATTATACTTATTTTTGTGTGTGCACACAGCACTTGTGGAGGTCAGAACTTTATAGAAGTTGGTTCTCTCCTTCCTCCATGTGGCTACAAAACTTGAACTCAGGTCCTCAGGCTTGGTGGCAGGGTGAGCCATCTCAATGGCCTGGGAATATTTTTGTATAACTCTGGTGACCTGACTTATCTATTTCTTTTTTTTTAATCTTATGTGTACATGTGTAGTGTATTGCCTGCATGTATGTAAGTGCGCCCGTGTTGTGCAATGCCCTCAGAGGACGGAAGAGGCCATCGGATCCCCTGGAACTAGAGTTGCTGACAGTTGTTAGCTGCCATGTGGGTGCTGGGATTTGAACCCGGGTCTTCTGCAAGAACAGCCAGTGCTCTTAACTGCTGAGCCGTCTCTCCAGCCCTGCGCATGACTTAATTTTGAGCTTTAATTTGTTACATCCTCATACTGAACTCTTATGCTTTTCAAGTTTTTAAACACCCAAATGAAAACGGTGAGCCCAGAATTGGGCCTCTTAGCTACTCACTGTGTGCTCTCAAGTTAGGGAGGAGTGGTACCAGGATGGTCCTTGTGACCCTGTGGCATGGTGCATTTTTTCAGGTGGATGGTCTTCATGTGAGAGTCCAAGTCTTGTCAGTTTGTTAGCATCTGGATTATTGTTCATGATTAAAAGAAATTTGAGTGGGTAGGTTTGGTGCCTTTTTGTTTAATCTCATGTGTGGTGGTAGGTCATGGTGCTGACAAGTGTAGCCCAGGCTTGATGTGCAAGTCTCTCTCTTTGTTGGAGTGACTCCTAAATTGTCTAAAGAATGCGTGATGCCATGGTTGACACAAAGTGTGTATTGTAGCATTAATCTGGCACGCAGTTCCTACCAAACCAAAACCCACGGCAGAGGTTTGTTGTTTTTGGAGATAGGATCTCGCTGTAGGCCAGCCTGGCTTTGACCTCAGAGATTTGCCTGTCTCTGCCTCAGAGTCCTGGGACTAAAGGCGTGCACCACCATGCCTGGTAAGTTTTGTTTTGTTTTATTTTATTTTATTTGTCATTTTGAAGCAGGGTCTCCCTGCAGCCCCAGCTGTCCTTGAACTTACAGAGATCCACCTGCCTCTGCCTCCCAAGTGCTGGGACTACAGGCAGTGTGCCACCACGCTCGGCAGTTTTATTCTTAAAATAGTCTCTTACTCTGGGCTGGAGAGATGGTTCAGCAGCTAAGAGCACTGACTGCTCTTGCACAGGACCTGGGTTGGGTCCCCAGTGCACACACAGCGGCTAACGACCATCTGTAACTGCAGTTCTAGAAGATCCAGCCCCCTCTTCTGGCCCCCATGGGCCTTGCTGCACATACAAGCAAGCAAACCACATACATATAAAATACAAATTGGAGGGGAGGGCTCTTTGAGACAGGGTCTCTTTAGTCCCAGCTGGCGTCAACTCACTGTGTAGGCCAGGCTACCCTCAAACTCACAGAGATCCTCCTGCTTCTGCTTCCCAGGTGCTGGGATCAAAGGCGTGCGCCACCATGCCTGGCTATGAAAAGTAGTTCACAAGTTCTCTTGTTCTAGGATAAGTCTTTGGACAGAAAAGTGCCGACAAAAGGAAAAAGAGGCGCAAGGGGAAAGCAGACAGAAGTAGCCAACCAGGAGGCCAGAGAAGACCTGCCCACCGAGAATGGAGAGACTGGCAACGAGGAGGTCGGTGTTGTGCTGTGGGAGTTGAGCAGCACAGTCTAAGCTGGATCTCTGCTGTAGCAGATTACATCTTTTACAGTGATTCTCTGCACTTGTCCCAACTGCGTAGAAAGTGAATTAGGTCTTCAGTGTTAGAGTTAGGAACTTGGAGATGCCAGTCTGACCAGTAGTGAAGCAGCCAGCCATCTGTTTACAGGGTTCCTGTGTAATTCTTAGTGTGGGCTTTAGAAAATGCTGTGTACTAGACAGTTCATAAAGCTCTTTCCCCCATATGACCTTGTGGGACTTTAGTTGAACAAATTAGGTTCATTTTCTTCTTTGCTTTGTGACATCCCCCCCCCCCCATTTTTTAATGAAGAAAGTGAGTGCTTTGTTTTTACTTGGTTTTATTCTAAAAGTTAGCCGTTTATTTAGGGCTAATAGCCCAGTTCAGAAAAATGGTGATTTTGGTCTTCTTTCTTGTAAACTACCAGGGAAAGCCTCTCAGAAAATGGTGAGCTACAAGGCTTTGATAGTAGTTTCTCCTCCTCCTTCTCCCATGATAGCTCTTTTTTAACCCCCTTCCCTCCCTGAGTCTTATGTTTGCTAAGCTTGGGAGGAAGGGCAAATTGGGAGTATATTTTGTGTATATGTGGTATGTGTGTTTGAGTACTTACTGCTATGTATGTGTGGAGGCCAGAGGGTAGGGTAGCATTGGGTGGTTTTCCTTGATCATCTCTACCTTGTATGTTGATACAGTTCCTTATTGAACTGAGGGCTTGCTCCAAGGATCCCCAGTCTCTGCCTCCTGGGTGTTGGCATATTTATTATTTTTATTCTTAATGGTTAAATTTGGTCCTAAGTTAAGATTTTTGTTGTTGTTGTTGTTAGAACCTTGTGCATGCTAAGCAAGCACTAAATTAAGCAGTTTTATAACCCGTAATGGCCAAATATATGTTTGATTGTTGAGACAAGGTCTCCTTGGAACCCCAGCTAGCCTGGAACTTGTAGGGAACTGTCAGCCTCTGCCTCCCAAGTTTGGGGACAAAAGGCGGGTGCCACCACACCCAGCCCAATAACCAAATTTTTTTCCAGCTCTAACTACATACCAGATATTAATTAAAACCAGATGACTAATCTAAGCCCATTAGAAGCAGCTTGAGCTGGGCTTGGTGGTGCACTTCTGTAACACTAGCCCTTTGGAAGCAATGAGAGGATCGGGAGTTCAAGGCCCATCCAGTACATGTTAATCAGATAATAGTTGATTCTTCTATAAGATCGCCAAAGATCCAGGGTCTGGAGAGATGGCTCGGTGGCTAAGAACAAAGATCCTGAGCCATTGACCTTGAGGGTGAGATGGACAGCACGGCTTCAACTGCCGAGGGCTTCTTTTGCCCTGTGTTTCTCTTTAGGAACACCTTACCTCATGCATATGTGAATGCATTTATTATATGCAGATCATGCATTAACATTGAACTCATAAGCTGCATGGTTCTCCATAAGGTACATCACAGCCAATGCACTTAGTAACACTAAAATACCACTTGGACACAGCTTGAAAGCCAATTAAACAGCAAAATCAAAAACCACAAAATTTTGAAATATGTGACACTGATTCAGCCAGGGTGGGCGTAGGGACCTGGCCATGTGCCAGACCTGAAAGAAGGCACAGCTGGGGTGAGTTTGCAAGTATAGAACCTGTGGCTGAGGACGAATTGCAGTGTTGGAAACACAGAGTGTGCAGGGCATGCGCGCAGAGTGGAGATACAGCAGGTGAGGTGCTTGATCTTGGCTTTTCCTCTGATTTGCAGAGCCCTGCCTCTGATGAAGGAGAAGAGAAAGACGCCAAGTCCGGCTGATCCGCATCCTGCCCTCAGTCTCCCCGCCGCCCTTGTACAATCCAGAGGAATATTTTTATCAGCTATTTTGTAAATGCAAGTTTTTTAGTAGCTCTAGAAACATTTTTGAAAGGGGAAAGAGTATGCTCTGGGTCACAGGATATATAACTAACCCCCTCATGGAATGTTACACCGACACCCAAGACAGTCACAGCCTCCCATGATTCAATATCCCACTATTTGCTGGCTGTACCAAAAAATAAACAACCAGTGAATGATTTCATTCCATTGGGGGAGGGGGTAGTTTTATATCCTGTGACCCAGAGCATACTTAAATGGCAATTTGGAGTCTCAGTTGTGCATTTAATGTGTCTTGAATATTTTAGATGACTTCTTAGTCCTGGGTTTCTTAGTAAACTGTTTTCTTTATAAAAAAACAAACAAACAAAAAAAAACACTCCTTGGTCAGAACTGTGTGCCCTTTATAACATCTGGTCACGGTGGTCCCATTTTTCCTAACAGTTTTGATAATGTGCTGTGAAAGATGAAAATTTGAGTGTCTAGTGTATGATAATAAATTTCAGTGGAAGTAAAGCTTGTTGGTCAGCGTTTGGTGATGAGTCCCCTGACAGGAAATGTGCCACCAGGTTCGAAGCTGGAACATCACTGGAATGACTTTATTTTTTTTTTGGTCTTTTTGAGGCAGGGTCTCCCTGTAGCTCCAGCTGTCCTGGAACTTACTGTGTAGACCAGGCTGGCCTTGAACTCACAGAGATCCGCCTGCCTCTGCCTCCCGGAGTGCTGGGATTTAAGGCATGCGCCACCACGCCCAGCCTTGGAATGGCTTTTTAAAAGAAACACAATACGTGGTTCTTTAGACTTTTGGTACGTGTATTAAGAATTGTGTACGAATTGAAATGTCTGTGTACTGGTCCTCAACCAATAAAATCTCAGAAAGAATGTTCTGAAGTGATTGGTTTAGTTTTTTGTTGAATTTCTCTGTGGTTTGAAATCTGTATACTTGGTTTGAGATGGGGCATCTTTATGGTACCAAAGAGCAACCTGATCCTGCTGCCTGAGTAGTTGAGACTGCAGATTTCTGCCCCATCCAGTTGGTATTTTCATGTGTATTGAACTTACCTCTCCCTGTGGAGTCTGTGGAGATGGTATGGGGGAACTCAGTAGGGATTCTGCCAATGTCACCACTAAATGGGGTCTTTAGACAATGCAAGCCTCCCTGCTTGATGGGCCATTTTGCCTGCTGACCCACTGGACAAGTTGTCTCTGAGACAGTTTCATACAAACTAGGCTGTCCTAACGCTGAGTAGCCAGGGAGGATCATGAACTGATTTTCCTGAGCGCTGACACTACAGGCATGCACCACTGTGGCTGGCTCTTGTGCTGCTGGGGCCTTGTGCCCTGCAAGCCCTCTACCAGTTCACTTTAGCCCTAGCTCTCTAGGTAAGAATACTTAAAATAACTGGGGATGTAGCTGGGTGCTGGTGTTTGTTTAGCATCTCAGGCCCTGGATTCCAGCACCAGCAAATGAACAGGAGAAAATTCAGCCAGGTTGGAGTCTACTACTAGGGAGGCTGCTTCGGTCCAGGAGACTGGCTTATGCCTGGTGCATCTGGATGTGAGGAGGTCAGAGGTTGACACTGGGTGTCTGCCTCTGCCGATCTGCAGCTCGTTTTGAGACAAGGTCTCTGAACCTGGAATTCAGTGTTTTCAGCGAGGTCGGTGGCCTGCAAGCTCCTAATCCATCTGTCTACCCTGTTGCTGAGGTCAGTGTGCCACCATGCTGGGATACAAGCCCAGGTTCTGCTTGCCCATCAGGAACTTGACTGACAGCCATCCCCCTAGCCCCTTAATTGCAAAGTATTTTTAATAACTGAAATTAGCCATGGGCTAATGGCTTTAATTAGTCATTTCAGCTTTTAAAATGCTCTGGGGCTTAAGAGATGGCTCAGCAATTAAGAGCCCTGGCTGCTTTTGCAGAGGACCCAGGTTCAGTTCCCAGCACCCACATGTTGGCTCACAACCACCTGTTACTACAGTACCAGGGGCTTTGGCACCCTCTTCTGATCTCTGCAGGCTCCTGCATGCAAATGGTGCACACACACTCTTAGGGATAATTTTGCACCTATCAAAGCAGTGAAGCACAAGAGGTGTGGTGCACCAGCCACCCAGACCCAGCAGCCGTCAGCACCTCCAGATGACCTGAAGATGGCCGCTCTTGCAGAGGACCCAGCACCCACATAGCAGCTAGCAACCATTCATAACTCCAGTTCTGGGGGATCTGATGCCCTCTTCTGACCTCTGCAGGCACTGCACAATACCAGTGCATCTACCTACTTGCAAGCAATACACTTATATACAGAAAATAAAACTTTATATATATATATATATGAAGTTAAAACCAGGTGTGGTGGTATATGCCTTTAATCCTAGCACTCTGGAGGCAGAGGCAGGCGGGTGTCTGAGATCAAGGCTAGGCTGGTCCACAGCAACTTCCAGGCCAGCTGGGGCTACAGGGAGACCCTGTCTCAGGTAAGTAAAGTTAACATAGGAAGAAATATTTAGGAATAAATGTTCATTGACTTGAAGTTATGTCTTGGATGCAGAGCCAATATAACAAGCCTCTGTTTTTAAAAATCCAATTTGAGCAGGCATGGCGGTGCATGCCTTTGATCCGAGCATGGAGGTAGAGCCAGGAGGACCGGGACGTCAAGGCCCACCTCAGCCTTAGCTACATAATGAGTTCAAGGTCTGCCTGGGCTTGTCTTGAAACAACAAAGGAACATAAAAATCTGTGGCTGGTTCAGTTCTGAGAATCACATCCTGCCTTGTGTGTGTTGATTCCACAGATGTCTTCAGTGTTGGGAAATCCCAGTGGATGTTGGAAAACTCTTGTGGGTGTGGAAATGGAAAGACGTGCCAGGCACAGGGGCAAAGGGAAATGATGGCACTGGGTTCAGATGCTGACTTGGGTGCTGGTGTGGCCTGCAGCTCCATCCCCCCTGCTGTGTGCATGCGTGGCCCACCATGGACGTGACCACAGAGAGCTCAGGATTTAAAGTGATGTCTGGCTGGCCATGCTGGATTTGTCTTCCTTTGAAACAAAATATATTGTTGAGAGTCTGAAAATACACTTGATGTAGCTGAGTTGAATGCTTAGAATTACCTGTGTAGCCAGCAGTAGTCCCAGGGAGCTAAGGCAGGAGCATTGCTTGAGCCCAGGAGGCCAACCTGGGCAACAGGACAGGCCCACATACCTGTTTAAAAAAACAGCTGAGGGGCTGGAGAGATGGATCAGCAGTTAAGAACACTGTTCTTGCAGAAGACCCAGGTTCAAATCCCAGCACCCACATGGCAGCTAACAACTTTAACTCCAGTTCCAGAGGATCCGATGGCCTCTTCTGTCCTCTGAGGGCATTGCATGACATGGGTGCACTTACCTACATGCAGGCATAACACTCATACACATAAAATAATAATAATTAAAAAACCCACTGGTTCTTGCAGAAGACCCAGGTTCAAATCCCAGCACCCACATGGCAGCTAACAACTGCATACACATATGTCCATACACATAAAAATAATAAAACATTTAAAAAAAAGTTTACCAAAAAAAAAAAAAAACAGCTGGGCATGGTAATCCCCCTACTTGGGAGGTAAAAGCAGGAGGATCAGAAATATCCTTAACAAGTTTGAGGATGACCTAGGCTACATCAGACAACCCTGTCTCCAAAAAGCCAAAACAAGTCTGAGGATGCAGTTCAGTGGTAACATGCCCAAAGCCCAGTGTTGATCCCCAGCACTGCAAAAAGAAAAAGCCAAAACAAGAAAAACAACTGTAAATTAAGGTCACTTAACTATTACCCTTAGAAAATTCTGGTGAAGGAACAGCGTGAAGAAGCAAGAACCACCTGGGACCGACCACAGTCCTGGGCCACCGATGCATCCGTGTCCCCTCAACTGTCGCTGTGCCCAGAAGAAAGGCTGAAGGGCTCGAGGAGGTGAAGCCAAGGTGAAGGAAGAGCCACAGAGATCTGCAAGATTATCTGCTAGACCCGCTCCTCCAGCCAGAGTCCGTCTAAGAAGGGGCCGATGCTGGTGAGGAGGAGGTTAGCCCAAATGGAGAGCGCAGGGCTGGGGACACCACATCTGCACTTTTGATAACTACTCTGGTGACCACATTTGAAAGACCATTTTTTAATCAAGTTTTATTTTTAATAGTATGCTATTTTTATGTGTATGAGTGTGTTGCCTGTGTGAGTGTAAGAGCACCCGAGTCATGCAATGCCCACGGGAGGTCAGAAGAAGGCATCCAATCCCCTGGAACTGGAGTTACAGATGGTTGTTAGCTGCCATGGGTGCTGGGAATCGAACTCGGGTCCTCTGCAAGAGCAGCCAGTGCTTTTAACTTCTAAGCCATTTCTCCAGACCTTTATCAATTTTTATAAAAATGCAGAATTTTGCCAATGCCTTTAATCCCAGCACTCGGGAGGCAGAGGCACACAGATCTCTGTGAGTTTGAGGCCAGCCTGGTCTACATAGCGAGTTCCAGGTCAGCTAGGGCTACTGGGAGACCTTGTCTCAAAAGGAAAAAATAAATGCAGAATTTTGTTTTACTTTTTTTTTTTAAAGCTATGTTGTTATATGTTGTTAGCACACAGAACAAACACTTCATTGTTTTTTTGTGGGGGAGACATGTGCCACTAACAGAATGTCTCCCACACTGTATTAATGTGGGGAAACACTTTTCCTGCTGCTTTTGAAAGGCTCCTTTTGGCTCCTGGGAGGGAATTTCCTGATGCTGACACACATAACTGCCTTGGCACATTATGCCTTGTATGGGAAAATTCAAAATTAATTTTTTTTTTCTGTCTTTTTTGAGACAGGGTCTCCTTGTAGCCCCAGCTGTCCTGGAACTCACTATGTAGACCAGGCTGGCCTCAAACTCACAAAGATCCGCCTGCCTCTGCCTCCCAAGTGCTGGGATTAAAGGCATGTGCCACCACGCCCAGCTCAAAATTAATTTTTATATCCCCTCTCCCTCCACCTTCAAACCAACAGATTTAACTCCCTTAAAAGCAGAGAGCTGTTGGGACCTGACTCCCTAAAATTGGTTTTGCCA